CAGCTGGGTTGGGGCAACCGCTGGTATCGGTACAGGCTGGAGGATGAAGGGATTGAGAGCAGCCCTGCCAAGAAGGAATCGGGGGGTACTGGTGGATGAAGAGCTGGACATGAGCTGGCAATGTGTGCTCGCAGCCCGGAAAGCCAACCGTGTCCTGGGCTGCATCCAAAGAAGCATGGCCAACAGGTGGAGGGAGGTGATTTTGCCACTCTACTCTGCTCTGGTGAGACCCCACCTGGAGTCCTGTGTCCAGCTCTGCAGCCCTCAGCACAGGAAAGACATGGACCTGTTGGAGAGGGTCCAGAGGAGGGCCACAAAAATGATCAGAGGTATGGAAGACCTCTCCTATGAAGACAGGCTGAGGGAGTTGGGGTTGTTCACAGCCTGGAGAAGGCTCCAGGGAGACTTTATTGCAGCCTTCCATACTTAAAGGGGACTTCTAAGCAAGGCCTGTTGCAATAGGACAAGGGTAATGGTTTTAAATCTACCCTCTTTTAGTTTAGACTAGATGCAAGGAAGAAATTTTTCACAATGAGGGTGGTGAAACACTGGAACAGGTTACCTGGAGAGGTGGTAGATGCCCCACCACTGGAGATATTCAAGGTCAGGTTGGACGGCGCTCTGAGCCACCTGATCTAGTTGAAGATGTCCCTGCTTACTGCAGGGGGGTTGGACTAGATGACCTTTAGAGGTCCCTTCCAACCCAAACTATTGTATGATTCTATGAGGCCCATCCAATTCTCGATCTGTTCAGCAACATAATGCAAACAAACAAGCTGTCAGTGCCACAATGTTGCTCTGTAGGGTTGGGTGTCCACTGTGATCAGGAGTGTGTCTGTTAGTTCTGCAGTGAAAATCAAGGCATTAGAGTCAGTGGCACTTGGTTTCCCCATCCCTTTACTGTCTCTGATGCTCTGTCTCTCACTGGGGTGCAAGTGATGACCCCCAGTAATGGCAGGAACTGAGAAGGGTCAGTGTAGGCTGGGTTCTTTCCTGGCTTTGCAGACAGGGAAATTTTTTCCTGCCAATACAGAAAAGGTACTTGTTTTGTGAAGAGTACCTGTTTGGTTTGTGGAGCAATTGCAGAAACTTTGTGTCCTTTACAGTCTTTTTCTTTTTTTTTTTTTTAAATGAGGTATGAGATAATTTGACTGTTTTGTACCTGGTGTTCCTAACTGCACAGCACAAGCCAAAAACTTGGAGTCTGTTTTTTTTACTAGAGCCTCCCAGCTAGGAGCTGTGAGACTTTTGTAACAGCCTTGTCTAGGTGTAGGAAGAGTATTTCTAGTACCGGTCAGGCACTAGAAAGCAGTTTCAACCTCTCCTTCCATTTTTCGCTCCTCAGAGCAAATTATTTTTATTTAAAAATGGATACTGTGAATCATTGCTGGTTGTAAATTCTCAACTAATTATGCACTCCTTGTTAGTTACCTGTATCCTTGCTTAGAACTTCTGCCAAACCATGAAAGCGTGTGGTAATGAGACCTTAGTCCATGCTTTTCCCTGCCTGAATGCTAAGCTGGATGTGGCATTAAGTCATATTTCTGGAAAATTACAGATTGGGTGTGTTAGAGGGACGTTATGGCTGTGAGTCCCTTGCAGTGCAGGCTGCCTTGAGAAAGTCAGCTCAATCCCATTTTTGCCTGTACTATGATTTGGACCTACCCTTGAAAAAAACCTCAAGGAAGGGAGGAGAGGGAGAGGTTAGTGGAGGCACAGTAACTAGACTGTTACCTTGTAGATTTTGTCTTGTTTGGTGAGAATTTGTTAAATAACTGAACAAATCAAGGCTGCAGGGAGGAATTACAGGCTGCTCGTTTCTTTTCTAGAAAAGCCTCAGAGGCAGAGGGAAATGGCTTAAGTTTGGCTTAAGTCTTGTCCATGCTGGGCTTTCTGAATGGATTTGCAGCCTCAAGGGATCTCTTTGCAGATTCTTGCTCATTGAAATTGTCTGTCCTTCTGCCTTGCAGTATTGCACAGTCACTGAGCCCCGTGAGGCACAGGACCCCAAGGAACAGAGAAGCACTTGCACTCCAGAGGGGTTGGGTTCATATTGCCTCAGACTCCAATGGTCAAGAATAGGCAGGAGAGCGAACAGGCAGTCAAGCTTTTTGGTGGAAGAAACTTGCCAAACCAGGAGCATGTGTCTGTGTTTTGGCTTGTGCTAGCTCAATGGAGGTGTCAGGGCTCTGGCTACCCTCTGCCCCAGGCAGCACTGCTCCATGCAGCTGGCACTGAAGATTGCACAGTTTGGATCCATTGCAGGGAGCTGTACAATACCCCAGCAGGTTGTCCTTGCCTGCCCTGGCCATCACATCAAGCCAGGGAAGGATTTCTTTCTGAGCTCTGTGTTGGTGAGTCTTGTCAGGGAGCTGTGGAGGCAGTGCCCAGGCAACTGCATTTTCCACTGTGCTTGAGCTTTGGGCAGATGATCTGCTTCACTGTGACAGCTGTCAACTCATCTTGGTTATGTTACAGCTTGAACTGCTGCCAGAAGAAATGATACAGCATCTGTGTCTCACACCTCAGTGACTCCCACACTCCTTTATCCCACCCCAGCAGCAATCCAAGGTAGCTAGCAGATAATTCCTGTTGTGTCCAAACAATCACCATTTTCTTTGTTCCTAGCTTTCCAATGATGAGGAGATCCACAATGTGGGCACATCACTGACCTTTGGCTTTGGGACCTTGGCGTGCTGGATCCAGTCTGTCCTCACCCTCAAGATCAACCTGAAGAACGAGGGACGGAAAGTTGGTATTCCACGAGTTGCCCTGTCGGCCAGCATCACCCTCTGCGTGGTGTTCTGTATCCTTTTGTCCCACTCCCTAGGAAGCCAGGTATCATACGTGTCCGACACTCTGCAGCAGGGAACATTGGCTCTTCTCACACCTGTCCTAGGATCTCAAAGCATTTAGGAATGCTACTTAGCTTGTCTTCATGGCATGATCCTCTCATTGTCTCATTTTGCTACTTGTGTTTTACTAGGATGCCCTGCTTCACAGATGGGCTCACTTCCTTCATAAATGTTTCTAAAACTTCCTAGTGATATCCAAAGTGGTTATAATATTGAATAGTATCTGTGTGATTTAATGGTACCAGTGCTTACCTACACAATAGCATTTAAGAGTATGCAAAATACTGAGATAAAAATTCTCAGGAGAACAAAGGAACAAGGGAAGAAGGTTTCTGAAGATGAGAAGACTTTGATTTATTTGTTGAAATGCTCCAGGGTGCTACATCCAGCTCTGCCTTTTGAGACGGTTATCACAGTCAAAAGCTGCTCGGTCATGTGGACTTTGGGTAAAAGTAGGTGCTTTACAAATGGGATTTGGGATGTGGGATCTGTGGTGACTCAGACTGGATGTACATGTCGCTTCCTCTCCACCTTGTGCCTGTTGGCCCCCCTCTAGCCTTTCTGTTCGCACCAGCACTCATGTGCCCTGGGTGTTTGTTTAGGGTGGATGCATTCACTGCATAGTTGCATCAACGTTAGTGCTGGGATAAGCAAGAGGGCAGGAATATATGGTAAGCAATAAGCTAATCCCCCTGTTTGGGGGGATTTGTCTGTTCTTAAAACAATTCCTTAGTCACTTGGCTGTTTTTGAGCATTTCAGCCAGTGTCCAGAGGAATAGCAGATTGGTGTGAAGATGTACTATCAATCGCCTCTTAAGCTTCCTTGGAAGTTTGTAGCTGATACACATTTGGTGTACGTAATGTGGGAGTTTGCCCAGTTCTTGTGGTGCTCCCCTCCTCCGCTTGCCCCAAGCCCATAGCTCCTCCAGGATGTGTCTGGGCCAGGCTCCTGCTGCACTGCTGTCTTCGGAGGTTTCTGCCAGGCTGGGAGCAGGAGCAGCCAGGTAAGCCAGGGCATAGCTGCTCCTGTACTGACATGCTGGGTACTCCCAACCCAGCCCTCCCCAGCTGGCTCCTCGGCACCAAAGGCGTTGGGCCCTCTGTGGAGGGGAGCTGGCTGAGGCAGGAGTCCCATTCCCCTCCCACCCCACATTGACTTTGCAAAGGCTTGAGGCTGGTTCCCCATCCCATGCAGCTTGTGCATAACCTTTGCACTACAGGGAAAGTAGAAGATCCTTAAAGCCCGACACAGAATGCTGTTTGCTGAAATGAAGCTTTGGTTGCTTACACTAAGCCCAACATTAAAAGTCTCTGATTACCTGCTTTGTGCAGTTAAAGCATGGGAGAGGCTGCTTGTTTGTTTGTTTTACCTGTGAAGATGTATGATCCTGCATTCTTGAGTGCAGAGGAAATCCTGAGAGACAGGAGACTCAGTAGGTTTAGAGATGTGCATTGGGCTAGAGCAGGTCCTCAGGTCAGGAAGGTGTCCTCTGCTTTAGGGGAGCTGAGAATTGCTTTTATGGAATACTCCAACACAACCTGAGGCACAGCAGTGAGACCCTGATGCCAGGCAATATGTGGTCCAAGCACACAGGTACATGAGCCTGGAGGACAGTTACTGGCTCTGACAGCGCTCTTTTTCCTTTCAGTATAACATGCTGTACTGTGTAGACTGATACTTCTGGATTTCACAGAAAAGGATGATTTTGCAGGTGATCTAAAGAGAATGAAAGATTACACAGTGTAGGCTGAAAGGTGTTCCCATTGCCTGCAATGCAGAGATCTGATCCAGTTTCCACTGGGAGGCTCCTGCTACGTGGGGGGCCACAGCCAGATCCCCAGCTTGCTGGCTCTGTCACAGGCTAGTTGGACATTCAAGCAAGTTGTTGACTTCTCTTGTGCCCAAGTCTTTCCCTCTAAATGTTTATCAGCCTGAACTGGGATCAGGAAGCCCTGGTCTGTATAGGAGAACTGCTGCGCTCCATGGGCATTGTTGGACACCTGACATCCCTTCCATCTCTGGCACTGTTCACACTCTCTTGAGGATGGCTGGCTGGGTTGACTATCATCTGGGTGACTTTGTTAAGATTTTATTGTCTTCCCTGTTGGCTTTCTGTCATTCTGGTCGGCATCTCTGTTCCCACTAGTTCTCCTTGACTTTCCTCATCCAGATTTCATCCTCATGGCGCAGGGCATCCACATGCATGCTTCCAGGATCCAGTGGGGCCTGGTGATGTGCTTCCTGTGTTACTTTGGCACCTTCGCAGTGGAGTTTAGGCACTACAGATTTGAGATTGTTTGCTCCGAGTACCAGGAAAACTTTCTGAGCTTTTCTGAAAGCTTATCAGAAGCCTCCGAGTACCAGACAGATCAGGTGTAACCTGTCCTCTGATGGGGGGGAGGGGGGCAAGTGTGGTCTCATGGTTTAAACATGACCTCATTTACACTTTTTTGATGAGTTTGTTGTCATGTGCAATCATGATCGTATTGCCAAAGGGTGGCTGTCTCATTCAGAGCCAAACAAAAATAGCTGTCTGCTGGAAGAGGAGTGCATCCTTCTCAGTGGCAGCATGAGAGAGCACAAGCTATTTACTTTGTGCTACCAATGACTTTTTCTGAGTGGCTCTGTCACACTCCTGTTGTTCAAAACATTCAACAGCAAGTCCTTGCAATGCCCCTCCAAGACTCAGCTTGTCCTGCAGAGGAGGAGATGAAGGAAACAGACTTCTCTGGGCACCAAGAGTCTCCAGGAGTCACCGGTTCCCAAGTTACCAGACTGCATCTTTCCTGTGTTTCTTGTGGTGTTCTCTTTGCTGCCAACTGATGTAACTTGGTAGGGTGAGAAAGAGTGGCTGTTTCTTCTGGACTTGAAATCAGGCAGTAGAAGATCCCAACTGACTGGCTTTTATGGCATTTCTTCCAGCCTGGAAAGCAGCTGACGGTCAAGCTGGATCTGGGAGAAACTGTGCTGTGATCAGGAAGTGGGACTTGGCCAATGCTGCCTTGTAGCTGGGCAGACCGGTCCCAGGCCAGAGGAGATGGCACAGTGGGGTGCTGTGCTCGCCTTCCTGTTTCAGACTCGGTGGTGGCGACTGGTGGAAGTGAGGTGCTAAATTAAGATGGGAATGCCTCTCTGCTCTGAAGATGACCCAGAAAAGGCTGCTCTTTGGAAGTGTGTAGTGCTTCCACTACATATTGTGTAATATTTCAAAAGCTTTTTTATTGTTCACTGAGGGGGAAAACATTGTGTTAGAGACACTGGGCTTGTCTGCAATGAGAACAGAACCGTTACAGGTGGTTCTGGGCATAGGGTTTGGTTTTGCTCCTTGTGCACTTAGAACTCAAACTTCAGACATGCTGACACTGGGCCTGGGCTCTGGACCCCGCCATGTGGCCAGTTCTCCTGAGTGGAATCTGCCACAGATTTAAGCAGGCTTCCAATGTGCAGGAAGGCAGTTCTGCCGTGGAGGGTTGGGTGATGTGGCCTGAGGGCTGGAGCTGCAGGAAGGGAACAGCAAAACCAGAAGGGCTTCTCCCTCCCTGAAGGGAGGTTTTCAGACAGAAGGTCTGTTTTCAAAGAAAAAGCAGGAGCTCAAAGCCCCTGTTTGAAAACCTAATTTTGGGAAGGCTGCAGTATTGGCTGGGCAGAGGAGTGATAGGAGTTGCTTCTCATGAACATGGCTCCTGTTTTCCTCCAGGAGTCAGGCTCAGCTTAGGTCTGCATCTTGTCTGAGCTATAGGAAAATAAACAGAAATTAAAATGGTGGCAAAAGGCATTTGAAGGGGAACTCATACCGTACTATGGCATCTCTGACAGAGAGGGAAAAGGCACGAGGACATTCAGTCTTCTGCAAAGGTCAGAGGCCTCTCCTGAGAGGAGAAACGGTTGCGAAAAACTTCTGTCAAAACTAGTGTAAGTAGAAGGCTTTCAGCCAACCCTTTACATTATGTTCTGTGGGCCAAAATTTGTTCTCAGGCAGCTGTGTTATAAATCCAGAGCATCTCCAGCCAACAGAGGGTTGTTGTTGCACTGATGAAGGCCTCCTCCTTGTAGCTTTCCCGGAGGGTCATGCTGAGGGTGGCCCAAGAGCACAGCAGCATAAGGCATAGGGCTCCCCAGGAGCCCATCCGGGGAGCTCCTCCTGGGCGAGGACAGGAGGGGACAGCCTGGAAAAGATGCAGGCGGGGATCCTCTTACACAGGCACACACTCAATTCATATAGAACACAAAATAGCGATGTGTTTAAAAGGTGTTTTACTGTAAATAGTTCACTGTTATTTTTTTAAAAATCAATACTTTCAGTTTATCATTTTATATTTTGTAATTTTATCAAAGGAAAAAATTATGTTTGTGATTTTTTTTTTTTCTTTCTCTCCTTTTCCTATATGCAATCCAAACTGAACTTCAGTTTCTTTGTGATAACTCTGGACATTTCTTAGAGTATTTCTAACAGCACCTTTCAATACAACTAAGTGACAACTGATATACACTGAAACATGACCACTAAATAAAGTGCTTTTATGGAGAAGGGGAGTTTTATTTTTGTCCCCTACCCCACACATAGCTTTCTGATGGCAAAGGCAAAACAAAAGATGAGTATTATTTACAGTGTCATGATTAAAATTAACACTTAAGGAAGCCAAGGACTATTCAGCCATGCAGATACACTTACTTTAACAGTGCTAACTAGCAGGCTGCTTCTAGGAGGAAGATCATACTCTTACACGGCTCAGAAAGACATCCAGACTAGCTGCCTCACAGCCTTACGTACTACCATCAAAGTTTTAGAAGAGCAATGCTGGCATGATGTTGTTTCCTCCCAACATGCCTGTTGTCTACATAGCAGCCTCCCTCAACTGGCACAGCTGTAGGTGTAGATCAGAGCTCAGAAAGGCAACATGTGCATTAGGATTCTATTTTGGCCATCCAAGAGGGCAAGCTCAAGCACAGATGCGCAGAAATGAGTAAGTAGCAAGTCAAACTCATGCATGAAGTGCCAGGAGCAGTGAACTGGGGTTTCAGACTGCCTCTGCCTCCACTATTACTAGATATAACCTAGGTGTGGCTCTCACTCCTGCACCCTAGCTGAGCCTCTACTGAAATCTTAATATGGTCAGGGAGGCAATACAACTTCCTTGGCAGGACAGGGTTGTCTGCCTTAAAGAATGAACACGGGGCGGTGAAATCAGGAAAACAAGGTGTTCACAGATTTTTTTAAAAAAAAGAGATTTGCCTTTAGATGCTGGGATCACTGGTGACAGATAGGAAAGCTAATACTAGAATGGAGTGAACACAATGAAAGCAAAGTTGTGGGTTTATTTACTATATTAGGAAAAGCTCCATGACCATCTGATACAAACTGGCATAATTTAGGTAGGGTGGGTTTGGATTTTAATTCTCATTAAATGCAGCAGGATGTGTCCCTCAGGAGCAGTTGTTTGCCAAGGTTTGCTCACAGCTGATCAGTGCTATGAACATGTGACAGGGTGATGTTGGCTACTGAGAAGGAGCCCCACAGGTTAGTGCTAAGGGAGGTACTTTAGAAATGTTGTCAAGCTGACTTTGGTGTTCAGCCAGTTGGATCCAATACCCCAGCACCACGATGCAGCAGGGAGGTGGGTCTAGGATTTAATTTTTAAACCTGTATTTATATATACTCTGCTTCATTCTGGTAGACTGGCTGTGTAGCTCTAAGCAGCTTCCATATGCGAGTTGTACTGTCTTGTACCTAAACCTGCTGTGGGTATAGCCAAGATTTAAGTTGTTCCTGGTCTAAAGAGCTTGCCTACAGCAAGGGCTGGCTTTTTCTGTGGCAGCCCAAATCTACTGTATTATAGCCCACATTTGGCATTTTCCTTTGGGCATCCTAACCCCCTAACTTTGAAAGTTTTGACTTAGCCAGCAACCCCATCTGCAGGGAGAAGCTTATACCCCCTCATGGTCCCCAGAGGTCCCTCTGGGACAGGGGGACATATACCTTGTTTGCATACTGTTTCTAAAATGATAGAGCTCGTGGTGGGGTGTCTCAGCACCAGCTTTCAATGGATGAGTCTGAAGGAAGCATCTCTTGAGCTAATTCCTAGCTGGGAAAGGGGAGGAACAGCAGGGTGCTGCGCTTCACCTTGTTCCCAGCTTGAGCTGACTGCTCCAGGCCTCTGTCCTACTGCACAAGGGAGCCCACACCATATTCACCATCCATACATGCCTGCACTAGTTGGGTCCAAGACATGATGTGGGCTTGGTTTTAAATTCCAATTATGGACAAAATTACCTAACATTACACAAGGACAATTCAGGTGAAGCACAGTCTTTTGTGCGTGCACCGCTTTCCCTAAGTGGAGGAAGGCAGGAAAAGTTCGGTGAAAGATGAGATGAGGCTGTAATATGATTTCTCATCATCAGTCAGTCCTGCGTTGCCTGGTCTGATCACCACAGCTACGTGAGCATCAGCTTCCTCGGCTGCATTGGCTTCTGAAACAGAGGTGGGAGAGTGGAGATGAGATGTGCTTACCGACCTCTCCACATGAGTGTCTTTAAGGCCTGAAGATGCCCTAAAACACGTAAGTGCTTGTAAAGGTTGAGACTGAGTGCGCAACATTTGCATGTGGCACTGCAGGGCTCTGGAGAGGGACCAGCTCCTGACAGACCTGCTGTGGATGACTGTAGCCGCCACCTAACGCTGGCTGCCTCGCCATCTCCTCCCCTCTCCCAGCTGACTGCTGTCCAAGGCACCGTGCAGGCAGCACGCCCCGCCCCGGAAGCTCAATTCCTGTTCACAAGCTGGGCTGTGGTCGGGCTGTGGCGTTAGTGAGTCCAACAACCGCCCGCCGGGAGTCACTTCTCACAAGCTTCCTTTGCACCCCTTGCACAGCAAGAGGCCACAGGAAGACGATACAGGGAAAAGGAGGTAACTGCAAGCTCCCACCAGCTGTGCTGCCAGGGCTGCGAAGGAGGTAAGGGCTAACTCCTGGGGACTGAGCTGGCTTAGACTGAGATCACAACCCAGTGCCATTTCTGCCAGAAAGACATTTCCAGCAAAGGCAGGAAATTAAATGAGCTTCCTGAGCCTGGCTTTCCAGGGGTCAAGTCTCGGCGGCCAGGAGCAATGTTTTCCTGCTGCTGAACAAAACCTAACAGTAAGTGGCACAAAGAACCAGCCACTGTGCATGCCACGTAGCTGCACAGCAGACATCATCTGCTCCCCCCCACTGACCCTGTTTGTAAATGTGGCATGCCAACTGCTTCAGCAAACATTCCACTCCACTTTAACAGTCTCTCCTTGCTTGCTAGGCTAGTGCAAGGGCAGGTTTTCTACTTGACCTATTTTCCCTCATTGCAGTGCTGCTCACAAATAACCCGCTGCTTGTGTGAGAACCTAGATGTGTAAGGAAGGAGCATGGCAGCAGCTACAGGGGTGCCACCGAAGCAAGGTGGTCTGCA